AAAAAAAAAAAAAAAATCCAGCATAGGGGTATCTCTAGAGATAGGATAAGATAACAGGAATCCCTGTAGTCTGTTCCTGGCATCTCCAGGCAGACTGAGAAACAAGAGCAGGAGTGTTTGGGGAGGTAGTAGTCTCCTATGGGGATTTGAGAAGAGAAAATAGTCTTTTTAGACAATGCAAATGAATTCAATAGAACACCATAAAGGTTTTAATGCTTATTTTCCATGTTTGCCTAGAATTTGCAGAATCCCATTGTTGATAATATTTAGTATTATAAATTATTTTAGTTGGCTGGGGATATGACTTAGTGGTAATGCTTGTTTAACATGCTGGAGGCCCTGAGTTTCATCCTCAGTACAGGGAAAAACACTATTTTTATATTTTAAAGAAAAATCTGGGCATGGTGGCATAGCACTCAGGAGGCAGAAGCTGCTGGATCTCCAAGTTTGAGGTCAATTTGGTCTTTAAAGCAAGTTACAGGTCAGCCAGGGTTACATAATGAGACCCTGTGTTTTGTTTTGTTTTGTTTTGTTTTGTTTTTGAGACTACAGTAGTTAACTTTTTAATTGGTGTTAGGATGTATGGTTGTCCTCAGGAATTTCTTGTTATTTCCATTTCTAGAAATATTAAAGAACTCATATTACGTCTTAATAGAAGGTTATGGTTTGAATCCATAATTTTTGGTAGCTCCTCTAGTGCTTGCTAAAGTTAAGATGACTCATTTTGTTGTTGATGTTTCATCTATTATTTGAGGCAGTGTCTAATATGTAGACCAGGCTGGCCTAGAACCCAGAGAGCCACCTGTTTTGCCTCTGAAGTGCTAAGATTAAAGATGTGCTGTTCACAACTGTAATTCTAGCTCCAGGGGATCCAATACAGTCTTCTAGCCTCCTTGAACACTTTACATACTTGCCCAAATCCACATTCAGGTATATTTCTAATTAAGAATAAAAATTTTTAATTTAGAAATTATTTTGGTTTTCTTGAAATTGAATCTCATGTAGCCCAAACTGGGCTCAATTCACCATGTAATCACAAATAGCCTTGAACTCCTGACTTTCACTGCCCTGGGTGCTAGAATTGCAGATCTGTGCTACCATATTTAGGATAGCCTTACACACATTTGAAACACTGACATGCTAAGAAGTCTACTTACAGGGGGGGGAAGGGGGAGACAGGGGACCCGAAATTGAGAGCACTTGTTGCTCTTACAGAGAACCTGGATTCAATTCCCACCACTCACTCATATGGTGGCTCACAACCATCCATAACTCCAGTTCCAGGGGACCCCTCTTCTGAACTCCATGGGCACTGGGTATGAATGTGGTGCTTATAATACTCTTACTTACAAAATAAATGCATCTTTAAAAAACAAACAGTTAAGCCAGGTGGTGGCAGCGGTACATGTGTTTAATCCCAGCAATTAAAAGACTGCTTGTGAAAAATGTATTTCTACCAGGTGTCGTGGATTGGAGGAGAATTGGGACTTCAGGGCCAGCTTAGGCTATGTATCGTGACTGTGGCTCAAAAGCAGAAAGGAAAGAAGGAAATGAAATTGTATTTAGTTTTGTGCACTAGGAGAGGGTATTTTCATACTTTCCTTGGTTTTATTCTAATAAAACAAAGATACTTTTGTTCAGAGGTCGGAAACTGCTACTCAGTCGTTGCTGCTGCTGCTTCCTCCTTCTCTCTTCCTCCTCCCCCTTCTCTTCTTCTTTTTTTGAGAGCTTCTTAAGGATTTGAGCCTGACTGGCTTCAAACTCATGATCTTCATGCCTCAGTCTCCCAAGTGATGAGAGGATAGCTGTGTGCCACCATGCCTGCCTGTCTGTTTACACTCATTTAGAGATGATTGTTTTCCTTTGTGTAGCGAGAGATAACTGAAGACCAGGGAAGAAACCCTACAACTTTCTTCAGTAGTCTGCTGCTGTGTTTAATGAAACTTACCCACCCTCGCTAACAGGAAAGTTCATTAAAACTTCCCAAGACTTTGGTTTGCTCTTGGTGTTTGTGGTAAAGATAGCTTGGGCTTTCTCACTCTGGAAAGGCAGTGTGGTGTCCAGGTCCACAGCTCAGTCTCTGAGTCATGCTGCCTGCTAAGTAGCCAGGTCATACTGTTTAGACTTTGTGCCTTTTCCTCAATGCCTGGACAGAAAGTGCCCATCTCAGAATTGCTGGAAAGATAAAATGATTTTATAAGTACAGTGTACATGAAACAGTCCATGTCACCAAATGAGTGTCCATTGAATGTTAGCTGATAAAAATTAGTAATTTTTTCCCCTTTGAGACAGTGTAGTTGTCACTGTATAGTTCTAACTGCCCTGGAACTCACTTTGTACACCAGACTGCCTTGAACTCACAGAGATCCGACTGCCTCAGTCTCCAAGTGCTAGGATTAAAGGCATGCACCACCACCGCCCAGCCTGCTCTTTTGCTTTTAAAAAACAATTCTTTAATGAACCTGAAAGTAAATTTGTTTTTCTTTTTTATTGTATGTGTGTGAATGCTGTGTGGCACACAAACAGGTAAGAGGACAGTTTGTGGGAGTGTTTTATCTCCTTCCCCCTTGGTTTCTAAGGGCACAGAACTCAGGCCATGAATCTTATCAACAAACACTTTTACCCACCAAGCCATCTTGTTGGCAGAGATTCATTTGTTCATTTAACAAACATTTGTTATAGTACTGGCCCATATACTATATACTACACAAATAAAGTGCTGCCCAGAAGAGGTAGGCTTGTACAATCATGTTATTGAGCGTGTGCTTTAAAGGAGGTGTGAACAAAGACCCCTGAAGCACAGAATAGAGTCTGGCCACAATTCAGAAGATGAAGTGAAGCTTGGCTACTGCAGAAGTTTAATCTGCACACTGGCCTCAGGGTTCTACAGCTTGACATTTTTTCAATTCTTCCTTTAATATAATAACAACAGATTCTGTGATCAGTTTGAAAGGCAATTGAAATGGCTTTGTCTCCTTAGAACATGGCTCACCTTTTCACTTTCTTATTCCAAATAATTTAAACGTGGTTTAAAGAAACATGTTCATAATAGACAAATTCTACTAAACTAGCAACTAAAATGTATTGGAACCCTCACACTCTGCCTCAATTTCTCCATGAGGAAAAAGTCTTTAGTTCAAACCTTTAAAGCTAAAAAATAAAAAAATATGATTAGTGTCCTACTGTGATGTACAATGGCTTAGAAAGTGACTTTTGATAAAATCCTAATCGTATGTTTTTTCTTTATGGTAAAATCAATAAAGTATTTGAGTTGGGAAAGGTTAAACAAAAGACTGGTCCTTTGCTGATAGAATGTTCTTTCTGCATGTTAGTGGCATGTATGTTAGCAGCATGCTCCTGCCTCATGCTCTGTGTCATGGTCTCTATAAAACCATAAAAGAGAAAAAAGAAAATAAGAGTGTATGCTGTAAAATAACTAGAACTTTAAAACCACATTTGTGGATTTTTTTTTTTCTTTATTTAGTTTTTGTTTTTGAGACAGGGTTTCTCAATGTTGCAGGTCTGGCTGTCCTGGAACTCGATTTGTGGATCAGGCTGGCCTCGAACTCAAAGGTCCGCCTGCCTGACTCCTGAATGCTAGGATTAAAGGCGTGTGTCACCACTGCCCAGCTAATATTTGTGTTTTTATTGTATTGTTACACAATAAAGGAGAGGTTCGAATCTTGTGACAAGGAGGCATATACCATGTGAATGAGCAGCATTTGTAAGTATGGCTGCTTCTTAGTTTCTCTGGTGGGCATTTAATACTAGGATTGGTTATAACACATTTGAAACTCACATGCCTGTCAGAGTCGTATTACTCTTCATAGTTCCTAAGTCGTGAAGATTTTTTATTTTAGTGGTTTTTATGACACTATACAAAGTATTTAAGGTGGGACTTTTTTCATGGACAGGTGCATCCCTTGTAAAGGTTCTCGGTTCCCTCCCACCCTTCCACGTCCTGCCGTGGCCATACTATCCTTTAAGCTTCCTTATTGTCAGACTTCGACAGAGAAAGGCCAAATGGAGGTATGTGGATGTCTTAATACTCTGAATTTGATAGTAAGTACCTGTGACACAGAAGGTTTTACGTCATCACAGTGGCCAGTGTTGAGTAATACTACACTGTGATTAAATAATGCAGTAGGGCACTGCTTGTGATCCCAAGGCCACCTGATGTGGTTGCTGTCACAGCTTCCAAGGCTCACTACTAATGACTGGGAGGGCCTTACCAGGGATGGACCCGCCCTGCTAGGGTCAGGTAAACCTGCTGCCCTCTGACTGTGAACTCATCCTACTCTAGACCTAGCCCCGCTGTCGTAAAAGACATTTGAAACCTTGCAGTTAGTTATTCTAGTTAGGAAATAAGTCATCTACAGAATAGTTTAGCGAGTTCTCTGAGGCCTAATATAGGAGATAAAAATATTCACATATACACATAGACACCTTTTTTCAAAGACTAGAACATAAAGCTAAACTATAATATCACATTGAGAGTTGTAAAATAAGCTTCTATGAAAGGGTTTCAGAAAATATTTTAAAGCTGGTATCTTCAGATGTACCTCATACTTGTGGGGTGCTAAGGGGATGTTAGTTTTATGAACTTTGATCCATTTTTGCAGGAACAATTTTGGCATTCGGTCCTGTTTCACAACTACCTTGATTACTTGGCTAAAAATGGTTATGATTATGAGGAGAACATTAAAAATCAGGCAGTAAAAGAGCAGCAAGAACTTTTGATGAAAATGCTTGCGGTGAGTAAAATGTGCTGAAAAAATTAGTGTTTAATTATTTTCTTAGGTTGAAATCTTTTTTCTTTAAAATGGGGTCTCTCTATATAGCCCTGGCTGTCCTGGAACTTGCTCTATAGACCAGTCTGGCTTCAGACTGAGGGAGCCAATAGCTCTAGGTGGAATTTCTTAAAAGATCTGTAAATAAATGCTAAATTCTATCATCTAGGATTCATAGATTGTACCTTTTCCCTTCAAGTTTCTCCCACTTGATGACACAGTTAAAATATTTGAAATATTTCCCTGTAGTTAGAGTTGGCCTTCCTGGTGCTGTGCTCCAGTAGGTACTCTAGGTGACTTGCATGTCTGAGAGCCATTGTTGTGACTCCTGCTTGTCTACACCATAAAATTAGGTGTAGACTGTTCTAGGGTTGGACAATTTTAAGATGTCCTTGGCGTTTGGGTTTCCGAGCCTTTTGTCCTCACCAGTGGCCAGGTTTGGTGTCTTGGGTTCTTCACTACTTTATTTTTGGCAGGGTCTCTTAAGGTTTGTTGTCCTCGATTCATGTTTGTTTGCCTTTTTTTTTTTTTTTTTTTTTTTTTTTTA